TGCTTTCCAGAAATGGGGAGATAAAGAGGTAAACAACTCCCTATCTGCCTCGGATGGAGACCCAGCCTGTCATTACTGGTGACCCTAAAGACAGTTTGTCCATTTGCTGTACTAGGTAGACTCTAGTGAATGAGTTATATGAGAGTTTGGTTGAGGCTCAGCTCTTACCCTGGGCCTGGCTGGCACTGAGAGTGGCTGGCACGTGCCTTGCAGGATGTTAGCAGCAACCCTAACCTCTCTCTACCCGTCACATGCCAATAGCACCACCTCCTAATTGTGACACCCAGAACTGTCTTCATACAGGCAGGTGTCCCTTAAGGAACAGTGTCCTTCCCGGAGAGGAGCCGCTAGGTGAAGGGAGGCAACAGTGAACCCGAGGTACCCAGAAACAATAAGGGTAGAAACAGGACTGCCCCTCAGGCAGAGGGGAGGCTAGGGTCCAGAAGGGCAGGCGTGGGGAGGACAGTGGCAGTGTCTAGACTCTACAGAACCTTGAGAGCTTGCAGAGACGGGCACAGGAAAGAAGAACTCCCAACTTCTTCCGCGCTTCCAGAATCCCAGTACCCATTTCCCAGTGGATGAATCCAATTGGGAGCCCAGTGGCCAGGAGACCTGGGTGACAGAGTCATAGGGATCAAGACCCAGACATCAGGCAGGGCAAAGGGAGAACATAGATTCAAGGGCAAACAGCAAAGCACTGGTTGGAGTTTCTCTGTGTAGCCCTGGCTGGTCTAGAACCCAGGCTGGCCTCAGACTCAGAGATCTGCCTGCCTCTGCCTCCCGAGTGCTGGGATTAGAGGTGTGCGCCACCACCGCCCAGCCGACACTTTCCTTTTAATATTCGAAAAGTGCCTGACACCTGTGAGGTACCTGCCTACCTGCCTAAATAGTCACAGTAATGTCCCTGAGTGTGGAGGACGCGGCTGAGAACAGCCCCAAGGGAAGCCTCTTGGTGGAGGTGGGAGCGAAGCAGAGCAGAAGTGTGGGCGAGGCGCGGTGCCCATGGCTGCTCGGCTGGCCCTAGAGCCTGGGATAGGAGAGCCCCGAGGAAGTCGGCGGTGCTGCAGGCCGGGACTTGTTGCTTCCCTCTGGACTCCGTGCCTAATGACGGGAGGCACTGGGTTAGTCAATCCTAGATGCTGACTTGTGTGTCCAAGAGGATTTCATGCGGGTGACTGCCGATCCCCACCCCCACCCCTGCAGACCGACCACAGACAGGACTGTGCCATCTAGCCACCCACTTAGAGCACTGGGGTGGGGCCGTCTGTATGGAAGATGCTTTACTCCTCATACTGACCGCTTCCATCCCCAGCTCTATGGCTCCTGGGATCTGGACTGTCCACTGAGTGCATGTTATCCTTAGTGAATTCACTTAGTGAATTCAGGCTTACTTTCCCAGCTGGGGCGCTGCGTAGACATACCACATTGGATTATCCGCGCGTCAGCGGCAGGTGTCTGTTTCTGCTTTTTGGCATTATGAACAAGGCAGTTCTGAATGTTCATCGGATGTTTGTTTGAACACAGGTTCTTTCTTATTTCTCTGAGATATGCCTGAGAGTAGGATGGGTCTTGTGGCTTAGTCTTGTGAGGAACTGAAAGAATCTTTTCCAATGGGGCTGCATCACTGACTAGTCCTACCAGCAAACTGGAGGGGTTTCTTTCTTTCTTCCTTCCTTCCTTCCTTCCTTCCTTCCTTCCTTCCTTCCTTCCTTCCTTCCTTCCTTTTTCTCCCCCCATACCTTGACTAAAAACATACCTGCCTTTTTATTGTTTACTACACTCACCCTAGCCATTTAAAAGTAATATCTCTGTGGGGTTTATTGGTTTTGTTCAATTTGGTGATGCGTCTTTTGTTTTTAGAGTGCGTGCGTGCATGCGTGTGTGCGTGCGTGCATGTCTGCAGGTACTTGGGTACTTGCAGAGGCCAGAAGTGGACATTGATCCCCTGGAGCTAGAATGAGAGGTGGCTGTGACCTGCCCACCATGGGTGCTGGGAACTGATCTCGGGTTCTCTGGAAGAGCATTAAATGTCAACTGCTGAGCCATCACTCAAGCCCTCTTGTTTTGGGGTGTTTTGTTTTGTTAACCCAGCTGGCCTTGAACTCACCATGTTGCTAGCTAAGGCTCAGTTTGAATTCCTAATCTTCCTACCATCATCTCCAGAGTGCTGGTATTACAGACATGTACCACACCTGGTTTATGAGGTACTGGGGATTGAACTCAGGACTTGACGTAGTAGACAGGACTCTATCAACTGACCTCCATTGATTCTGCACTGGGGTCCACTAATCCCTGTGTCTGCTGAGCTAATTACTGATTACTTAGCCTGCATGAAGCCCTCGGTTCGATCACCAGTGGGAACACGAGCACGCACTCATGCACTCACGTACTCTGCACTGCCTTGATTCCCATCGCTCTGTGGGAATTTTTGAAATCCAAAGAGGAGAGTTCTCAGATTGTGTCCTGAGTTCTTGTTTCTGTTTTTTCAAGATCCTTTGGGTCTGCTGGGTTCACAACAGACTCCCGACCACACTTATGGCTTGGCTGATGGCTTTCTCATGTCCTTGATGGACTTGCCAGCCGAGTGCTAAGTGGAAAATCCCCTTCGTTCTTCCCCAGCCTCCCTTTGAGAGGAGACTGGGCCAGCAGATCCCAGCTCATCTGACTGAGTTTAGTCTAGGGCCAGGTAGTCAGCCAGCCAGGGAATGTGTAGGCTGTACCTGGCCCTGAAGCAGAAGACCCACTCCATCTAATCCCAACATCCCACCTTCCTGGCTTCCTCCCTGGTGCCCAGGGTTGTGATAATCTCCAGGTGCATGTCCAGCCACACCACACACATTCTTTCTGTGCCTGTCATCCTGCCCTCTATCCCTCCTAAGAATGACTCACGGCACAGAGGGAAGCCATTTTGTTGTCAGGTGGGACCAGTGTAGCAACCTGGCCTTCCTGGTGGCATGCATGTCCAGTCACACCCAACAGATCTGTCATCTGTGCTGCAGGCACTGATTTCACTGTTCAGTGAATTTTGTTTAACACTCGGTATGTATCCCTGGTTGACCTGGACCTACTGTGTAGATAGACCAGGCTGGCCTTGAACCTGTGGGGCTCTGCATCCAACGTGCTGGAATTAAAGGTGTGTAGCACCACACCTGGCCTGGTGGGAGATTTTTTATAAATTTATAAAAAAAGAAAAAGAAGAAAGGAGGAGGAAGGCCAGGCAGAGGGTAAACTTTCTGGAAGGTGTCAGGATCAGCAGCCTGCTGCTGACTCCATAATACAGGCTCACACCTGTGCCTTTTTAAAGGAGTAAAAGGGGAGAGGCCAGCATGGCCCAAGTGTGGCCAACAGACACTAAAGCCTCTGAGAGCAGAGGGATCAGCCCTGTGGTTGCTAAGGGAGCCAAAGCTCTGCTCTACCGGACAGTCACTGACCTGCTCATCCTCCGCTCACGCTTCTGGAACATTCCTGCTGCTCTCCTAGTCTTTGCTTCACATGTAACAAAACTGTGTTTCTGAGAGCCACTTGGAGTTCTGTGAACACAGTGGGTTAGCCTGAGCCCTGATGGCCTCATCTGTGAAGCAGAAATAGTAACACCCAGCCTTAGACTTCGGGGCTGAGGGTGCAGCTCAGAAGCACAGGACTTGTCTGACATTCACAAGGCCCTGGCACCACCAAAAATTGAAATAAAAAGCACAGCTGTTTGGTGGAGACCAAGCCCTCAATAGGGCTCGATGTGCCGCAGACCTTCCATGGTGGCCCCCATAAGCCTGGCTCAACCCCCTTGAAGGGGTCTCAGCCTTCCGTTCCTGATTTCACCCTCTTCCTGTGTGCTGAGCAGCTTCAGCTGGGCCTCAGATGGCGGGGACAGCCAGGCTGGAGCTGGGACTGGATTTGGGAGACAGGAGGGTGCAATGGAAATGCATCATTAGGGTGCTAGTACAGGAGCGTTCCACAAGACCTCCGCTCTGAGTTGAGAAACTAGAGTCTGGAGGTTCAGGCTACCTGCTGTTGGAGTGAGAAGCGTTGCCAATACCCTGAACCTGCTTGCAACTCCACACTGAGTCTGAGGCCAGACAGTCAAGTAAGCAGGTTCCCCCAGACACCTGCTTCCTCTTTCTACACCTGCTCTTTCAGCACCTCACCTCAGAAAGCCGGGAAGTCAGCGGCTGAAGAGGGAATTTGCTATCAATACAGAGGCAACAAAATGTCAGCAAACCCCTAGGCTAAGGCCATAGCTCAGTGGTAGAGACCGAAACCCAGTGATGGCCTGTGAGGCGCATGGGGTTTCACATTTGTAAATGGTTGAGAGCTGGGCACCAGCCCAGTTGTAGAAGGTTTGTGTAGCATGTTTACCCCGGTATTGAATAAAACTGGGTGGACACGGTGGCATATACCTACAGCCCCAATACTTGGGAGGTAAAGGGAGAAACAATCAGAAGTTCAAGGTCATCCTTGGCTACAAGCCAGGTGTGCTGGCACATGTCTGTAATCAGGCACCCAAGAGAATCCGAAATCAAGGTCATCTTTGACAACACATCCAGTTTGAAGCCAGCCTGGCTACATGAGGAGAGGGAAAGTTGAAGAATATGTTTCCACACTTGAAATCTGAATGGCAGCATGCAGAGATAACATTTTATTGGCACACAGCCACCGTCTCTATTAATTGTCTCTATAATGCTTGGACCGTGTAAAACAAGTGAGGAAAAGTATGATGCCACTTTAAGATGGCAAAGCTCCCTCTCCTTCCAGTGTGCTAGAGGGGCTAAGAAGAGAAGAGGCTAGTCCTCCAGACGGGGCTGCTCTAGAGTAGGACAGGTGGTGGGGTTCAGGTGAAGGACCCAGGGGGGATTAGGAACCTTCAGTGAGCAGTTCCTCCACCACCACCCCCAGTGTGGTGACAGGGATTTCATCTGAGACTCTTCATGTCCCCAGAGTCCTCGGGGCTTCTTGGGGCTGGCCCTGAGCTACATTCACTGATTGCCTCCCTCCTCTCTCTACAGAATTTGCCTTCTGCCAGGTGAATGCCTCCGCTGCTCTGGCCCTGGCCTTAGCTGTTCTGTGTGACTTGCTCCGACAGTGGAACCAGCTGGTGCCAGGACTGCCCATTCTCCTGGGGTGGCTGCTAGGAGAGGGTGACGACCCCCAGGACCTCGTGCAAGACCCACAGCAGGTAATCGGAGCTGCTCAGGGAGCTGGGAGGCAGAAGTGTCCTCTGGGTGTAGCCCCGACAGGCCTGAGGAGTCTCTGGGTGGTGGAAGTGTGCCTCGGGCTGCTCTAATGTAGAGAGCATTAGAGCATTTTCTCTGGTTAGGAGAAAGTCTCCTGGGGGATGCACACAGCACGCACACACTGAGGCTTACTTTGGAGGTCTCAGCGGCAAGCTTTCAGACACTTTGAAAAATACACCTTGAGTACTAAAAATTAAACTATGGGAAATGCATATCCATTGACCTTAGCATGGGCAAGGGTCCTCACGGGTCTGGGTCTAAGCATTTCCCAAGAGTTAGGGTCCTTCCAGGGAACAAGGTGCTTGACCCCTCTTCCCAAGTAACAGGGAGCAGTCATGCACATCTGGAAACTGAAACCAGCAGAGGCAACCCAGGCATTGGGAAAGACAGAAGTCTGTGCCCAACCATGGGACTCTACTAACTGACTTGGCATCCTGAGCAGATAGAGTTCAAAACCCAGTCTGTTTATAGGAAATGTGGAAATGTAGAAATGTTTTTTATATGACCTTGAAAACCCTAGAAATGTAGTCTCAGAAGGCTGGTATCACGCATGTGCTCAGTAAGTCTTTGCTCTGCCACCGAGATCTCCCTTGCTTCCTCCTCTGATTTCTCAGTACACCTTAAATCTAAGATCACTTCCTTGGCAAGGTCCTCTTTTCACCATTAGTTCCCCAAAACATCTTGGCTTTGAGCTCCTCACATACTCACACATCTTTATCAAAGGTCATGTGACGTCTGGGAGAAAGCCTCTCTCTGGTAGAGGAGGACAGAGTGACTTCAGAGCTGCCCGTGGTGGGCGTGGGTGTTGACAGGCCGAGTGGTTCCTCCGTCAGCTGTGGAGGGGACACAGCTCTCACATCTAGGGGGCCTATGTGGTGAGCCTGGGGCTGGGCAGCACTCCCTCTAAGGTCACTGTGGGGCGTTTCATTTGCTGTAGGGAGAAGACGACCACATATTTGAAAAGTCAGAAGTCAACTTCTGGGCTGAGACGCTGACCTTCGTGAAATACCTGTGTAGGCCGCTCTTCCTTCTCTGTCAGCCTGGCTGGCCGTCCGATCACTCCCAGAAGCTCTGTCACCTGCAGACAGTAGCATCAGAGCAGCGTCTCCTCGTCTCTCAGCTCCTGAGAGAACTTCCGCCCTCGGCTGAATTTCTGAAGACAGTGGAGCACACAAGGCTGCGCATTCAGGAGGAAAGGACTTTGGCTGTCCTGAGGCTGTTGGCCTTCCTGGAAGGAAAGGACGTTCTCAGAGCCGAGGACTGTCCTAGCGAATGGAGACAGTTAATGGCCCCAAGAGCTTCCGAAGCAGCCTGTTGAAAGAAGGCTGGGGCAGCGGGTGGAGTATCTCCCCAACTCGGGTCTACAAGGAACATGTTGGACGTAAACTGAAGTCTGTCCTGTTGCACCTGCCCACTTCTGGGAGTCTAGGCTTCTTCCTACAGAGGCTCTGTCCTGTGCACACTCATTGAAGGCAGCCCAGTTTGTTGTGGCTCCTGTAGGAAGTGAGGCCACTATGTTGAATGTTGAATGTTTACTCTGTCCCAGGTGCAGGCCACCTGCAGGCCTGAATTAGCCTTTTCTGTCCTGAAGAAGTGCCATTCCAGCCAGATCTCCTTTCCCAGACAATGACTATACTGAAGAGAGTTTCAGCAAGCAAGTCCTCCCACTCCCCATACACACACACACACACACACACACACACACACACACACACACACACTGCTCTTTTGTTTGTTTGGGTTTGGGCTCTGTGTAGGAGCTGGATTACTTAGCAAACAGCCTATATTATAAACTTTATTCCATTTTACCAAAGAAGAAATATGTCCCAAGTGTTAGATTCTGGGAGAATTAAGAATCCACCCCCTGCAAATACTTGTGTTGTATTATCTCCATGTTCAAGTCTTTCAGAGGCCCATATTAAGTGTCCTGCCTGTCTCCCCCAGAAAGGCCTGTGAGGCTGGAAACCTGGTTGTTGTCCATTGTTTGATTCTGCTCTTCGAAGGAGCCTGGGGGAAAGAGAAGCCTGAACAAATGCATGATTCATGTGATACCTACCCTGTTGACTGTCCTGTGATTGTTGGAAGCAACAAAACGATCCTTATTTAGAGGTTAATAAACACATTTATCCACCTCAGTGATTCCATCTAGAAACCTTCAGGGATTTTCTCGGTTCCAAGCCCAGCCAGCAGGCTTCCTCAGATGCCCAGCAGGTGGCGCTCTTGCACACATTATGCTGCTGGTCTAGTTCTTTAGCTTTCTAGCTTAAAACTTACTCTAAACCTGTGCGTGAGGGCCGAGCACCCATGCCACAGCACGCATGTCTGTGGAAGTCGGGACACCTTCAGAGTCGGTTCTCTCTTTCCACCTTCACATGGGTTCCAGAGATCCAACTCAGGTGCAGGCTTGTACAGCGCGCCTTTATCAAACACTGCTAATGTATACTTTCAGAGTGAGTGTTCCCCACCCAGGGTAAGTGCTGTAGCCTGATCCACATTCCTGGTTATCTCCAAAGACCACGCCAGCCATAGTTAGAAACTTGTAGGGCCTATAAATACAGCCAGATACTTCCCAGCTGAGTGGTCACTTAGGATTACAGGGAAAGAGAATTGAATGTGCAGACTAGAAAGATGTTTGCTGGGCCATTTCCCTCTGCAGAAAGGCTGAGGTTACAAACGTAACCGGTCTCTGGGAAGAAAACCACCCAGCACCATAAAGAAGCATAGAGAACTGGTCTACACGAAGAGGGAAGACAAGCAATGTCCATGGTGTCTCTGAGGAGGAACAGAAAATCCCCTAGGTGGTTTGCAGACATTCAGCACCAGCTGCGGGATTGTATGACCCGGTAGTAATCACCTAGTTAGGCACCAGTGTAGCCCACCCTTGATGAAAAATTGAAAACCTGACATTTTTTAGTCTGTTTTGGGTTTCGCTTTTCTGAGTCAGGGCTTGCTTTTTACACCAAGCTGCCTTACACTTGTGTTCATCTTCCCGCCTCTGCCTCCCGAGTGCCAAGATTACAGGCACATACCACCATGTCCAGCCTTATACTACTTTATTCTAAGATCTAGCTGGTGAGAGGGCTGGTGGTGTAATGGGATGATAAAGTGGGAGATTCTGATCAGGGCCCATCTAGAATGAAATGAAAGCAGTTACATAACAATAAAACTGTCTCACACTAGCAGGCATGCCGCACCAAAGCATGTACCAGAACATGTTTATGTTATCTCCAAGTCCATCCTACCAAGTCTACCCAGTGGGTGTTCTCGCTGCTGTTGGCTGGGAGATACCGCAGATTTGGATCTTGGCTGGCTATGGCCAGTCTGGGAGGGCAGGAGGGATGGATGTTTCCACAGGTTTGTATCTGAAATCCTACCAGCAGCAGCTAGGGGTGTGGTGGCTCCATGATTTGCTGAGGGGAACCTGGGAAACCTCAGTCACAGAGACTCATGCTCATGCTTGGGGTCATTGCAGCCCCAGGTGCCCAGCCCTCTCTAGGGGACAAAGCCAGTGTGGGCAGGAAGAGTGAAGCAGCCATCTTTCCTAAAGTCACTACTTGCTTTTGGCTCCAAGCTTTAGGGCCCTAAGATTTGGATGGCCCCTGACTCTGTACTCATATTCTGTGACCCTCAGCCCTTCTGCTCTGGCCACAGCCAAAAGCCAGAATACCTTTAATACCTAAGATGGTGTGGGCTTTGTTTATCTGTAGACACCTCCTTGGATAATTTGTGCCTTGACAGAGGTAAAGGACGAATTTTATCTTTGTGTTAAAAGTAAGAAAACTCCAAGAGCAAGGCCCTGGATTCAGTCCTCAGCTACGAAGGGAAAAAAAAAAAGTAAGAAAACCCAAGTGCCAAACAGACTGTGATTTGCCCAGGCCACATGACTTACCAGGGGCGAAACTTCAATCTATATATATTTTTTTTCTTTATTGAGATAGGGTCTCATACAGAGCTGAGCTAGGCTGGCCTAAAACTCAAGTCAGCCTCCCAAGTGCTGGGATCCTAGGTGTGAGCCACTGCAGCCACTCAGGACCACATTTGTGACTTTAACGTCCTCCAGCTCTGCCCTGGGCTCCAGCTGCAGGGGCAGCAGGCGCCACCGTGCCGGCAGATGCGCGCAGAACTCAGGAGAGCCAGCTGAGTGACAGGCAGGTCGACCTCCTTCCCTCCCAGGTTAACTGCTACAGCCCAGGTGCACACTGGACTGCAAGCCGACAGGAAGCGCAACGTAGGAGGGTGGAGGTCAAGCGTCCCTCCCTGGCAGCTGCCGGGCCTTCCACCCAGGCCAGCCTGAGCTGCCAGCTGGGTGAAATCATGGGCCCAACTCCACCTTCTGGCAGCCAGTGTGGACTCGGCGGCGTGGGGAGGAAAGACCTGACTCCAGATCGCCGACAAAAGCTGGTAGTGGCTTTAGCCTCGCTGGGCGCTAGGTGGGGGTGTCTGCCCCCTCTCAAAAAGAGCCGGGCGACTTTTGGGAAAGCATTTTCTATCGAAAGCTAGTGGGGGTTGCACCAAAACCCAACAGAATTGGGACACCCCCTACACCCCCGACTGGCGGTTCAGCAACCACCACCTCCCGCAGCCAGCCCAGAGCTTAGATTCGACGCGGTGCCTCCCACAGCCAAAGAGGGAAAGTTGCAGGACTCGACAGGCTGAGGCTGTGCAGGGCGGGAAGCCTTGACCAGCAGCTGCACCCCCACCCCTAAGAGGGTTGGGGAGGCCAGGCCAACTAGCAGACACAAAGGTGAAGGAAGTGACTTCCTCCATGTCCACAGTGCTCCCCCACCCCCCCCCCGACTTCCCTCTAGTTCCCCGAGCGGGCTCTCCCGCCCCGGACACCCCGCGCCACTCCGCGCCTTTGGCCCAGGCTCAAGGTCTTGTGATGTGATTAGCAAAGCCAGCGCCTTGTCCTCAGACACTCAGCCCTGCCCCGCAGGCCCCAGCGCTCAAGTCCTGTTTACCGAGCCTGGGCGGGGAGAGGGGCGGAGAAACGGGCCAGTGCTCCTCCAGGCTGGCCGCTCCCGCCCCCACCCCTACTGCGTCTCCACGTGCAGCTGGGTTCGAGCTGCCACCTACGGGACAGGCCGCGAGCCCGCCCCCCGAGTCCTAAGCACCCTTTGCCAACCAGTCTGGCCACACGCATCATTGCAAATATTGTTGCATTTTGCAATTCCCGCGCGCCGTGCAAAAACCAAGGGTGGGAGATGAAAGCTGTGCCAGTCGGCCTAGCAGGGTCGGGCGGGGGAGGGCACGTCCAGGGTAACCCGGTCCGGGCCACAGATAGAACGTGCAAGCGCATTCCAACGGTACAGGCCCAGAGGCAGAAGAGAGCGGGATCTTCCCGCCGCCGCCGCCACCCAACAGCACCCAAAGGGGCCGCGCTCCCCACGCCGCCCGGACGCCCGGGCTGCCCGCCCCTCCCCGCCCCGCCCCCTCCCCCGAGGGGGGAAAAATTGGCGGCGACCAATGAGAGGCCGAGGAGGCGCCTGACGTCGGCGAGCCGGCGGGCGGCGTTGCCTGGAGACCCCGGCGGGTCAGCGTTCAGTCCCCTCCCCGGGTGCGCCTGGCCCCGCCGCCGCGCGGCTCCCGGGCTCTATATAGGGCGCGCGCTCGCGGGTCTCGGAGTTCCACCAGTCCGCGAGCTGCCGTCGGCTCCCGCGGGGGGCGGGCCGGGGCGCCGAGCTGCGCTCTTGCTTCTCCTCTGCCCCCCCACTCCGCGCCGCGGCCTCCTCCCTCCTCCTCCTCCTCCTCCTCCTCGGCCCCGCAAGCAAACTTTCCGTCCCTCCCCGCCCCTCGCCCGTTATTCGTCTCGATTCCAGCCGGGCCGCGCCGCGCCGCACCGAGGGCTCCTCCCAACCCTCCCCGCTTGCAGTTCCGACCATTACAGGACCCAGAGAGAAAAAAATGTCGACCACACTCCTGTCCGCCTTCTACGATATCGACTTCTTGTGCAAGGTAAGCCGGCGAGCGGGGAAGGATGGCGGACCGCCTGGAACCCCTGGAGTTCCGAGGCTTGGGCTTGCCGGGCCGGGTTAGGGCGGGAGGGGACCCTTCCAAGTTGACTTTTCGGGTGGAGGGAAGTCCTGGAGTTAGCAGCCCTGTGCGCTTGCGACTGTGGGCGTGGAGAGCGGGGAGGGAGCGAGCGAGTAGCGGCTGGAGCAGCGGCGCTCCTCCCGGGCCGACCACGGCCACGCTGCCGGGACTTCCCGGACAGTGTTTGCGCCGCCCACCCCGTGGCCACGGGCCCGGGATCACATGGCTAGACCCGGCCGCGGCCCGGGTGGGCGTCCTCCACTCCCTCCGGCCTGGCTTTCGCGAGTGTAACGGCGGAGGCCGAGTTGAAGTCCGCAGGGAGAAAAGAAGGTGGGCAGTTGGGGACTAGGCTTGAGTTCTCCCCAACTCTTCCTCCCCTTCCGATCTTCACCCCGTCCCCGCTCCCCTCCCTTTGGCAGACGGAGAAATCCCTGGCCAACCTCAATCTGAACAACATGCTGGACAAGAAGGCGGTGGGGACGCCCGTGGCTGCTGCCAACAGCTCGAGCTTCACGCCGGGCTTCCTGCGACGCCACTCGGCCAGCAACCTCCACGCGCTCGCCCACCCCGCGCCCAGCCCGGGCAGCTGCTCGCCCAAGTTCCCAGGCGCCCCCAACGGCAGCAGCTGCGGCCCCGCAGGCGCGGGCGGCCCGGCCTCCTACGGCCAGCTCAAGGAGCCTTCGGGGGGCAGCGGCACCGCTCTGGTCAACAAGGAGAGCAAATTCCGGGACCGCTCGTTCAGCGAGAACGGCGAGCGCAGCCAGCACCTCCTGCACCTGCAGCAGCAGCAGAAGGGGGGCAGCGGCTCCCAGATCAACTCCACGCGCTACAAGACCGAGCTGTGCCGACCCTTCGAGGAGAGCGGCACGTGCAAGTACGGCGAGAAGTGCCAGTTCGCCCACGGCTTCCACGAGCTGCGCAGCCTCACTCGGCACCCCAAGTACAAGACGGAGCTGTGCCGCACCTTCCACACCATCGGCTTCTGCCCCTACGGCCCGCGCTGCCATTTCATCCACAACGCGGAGGAGCGGCGGCCCGCGCCATCGGGGGGCGCCTCCGGGGACCTGCGAGCGTTTGGCGCGCGCGACGCGCTGCACCTGGGCTTTGCCCGGGAGCCGCGGCCCAAGCTGCATCACAGCCTCAGTTTCTCGGGCTTCCCGTCGGGTCACCACCAGCCCCCGGGGGGTCTGGAGTCGCCGCTGCTGCTCGACAGCCCCACGTCGCGCACGCCGCCACCGCCCTCCTCCTCGGCCTCATCCTGTTCCTCCTCCGCCTCTTCCTGCTCCTCCACGTCGGCCGCATCCACGCCCTCGGGCGCCCCGACGTGCTGCGCCTCGGCGGCGGCTGCAGCGGCGGCCGCGCTGCTCTACGGTCCCGGGAGCGCCGCCGAGGACCTGCTGCCCCCCGGAGCCCCGTGCGCCACCTGCTCGGCCACCTCGTGTGCCAACAACGCCTTCGCCTT